AAGAGAGAATAACAGGAAGTGAAGAGTTGCAAGTGGAATCCTGTGGTTTTCACTAATAATTTTGTTCTACCGACACAAGGTTGCATCTGCCTGGAAATGTAAGTAAAGCATTTTATTAACATGATCAATAATATAGGTCTACATTTAATGAGAAAAGACACTGTTTGGAATCCAACGAAAAATATAATATAAACAATTAAAATAAAAACACGGCGTTACTTACAGCTTTTTAACGAAATAAGATATAAGATATAGAAGTTGTATTTCATCACAAACAGCAATGTACTGACCCTTCAGATACCATGTTAATAATAAAGAAGTTATTTCTTTTCTTTATGGCTGGACTTGAGTCATGGTAAGTCGCACTTGTCGTCTCACATCTATGTTTCATTTGATGGCATCCATCCGTGAGCAGTCCTCAGGGATTATTCTATCCTGATCAGTCAATCCAAACTTAGAATAATCCTTTTTCCTTACTAGTTACTATGTTTTAAAAATCTGACTATTCTCCTGCCTAATATCAACAAAACTGGCAAATATAACAAGCTGATGATACATCCCTCCCAAAGTCACTTGTCTGTTGCAAAAGACTACATAGCTTTAAAGACCACGTAGCTCATAGATAAGGTAGCCTTATTACCAAACCTCCTCTGCAGATCGATCGATTAGTATAAAAGCGCCGCCTACAGACCAATCACCTCTCACGGAAGATGGCGTCGGCACGTGTGGAGCATCCTGCGGACTTGGTTGTGTGGGGGGTAAGAGGTCTTGAGAGACCGTGTTATCCCTTTGATTTTTGCACGAGCATGACCCTAAAAGCGCACTGAAGTCTTGTAGACAACCTGTTGTTTACAACAGAAAGGCCGCAGTTTGAAGAATTTCTTTGTTGGAATATTGAAACTAAACATCCATTGCATAAGGAAAAATTGCAAGAATAAATATAAATAATGGAGTTGTTCCTGTAATTACACTTACTAGTGCTTTATTGCCAGGACAGCGGCTTCGAGAAGCTCCTTAATGGTATTTAAAATCGCTGGGAATGTGCATGATCGGGGTGTACTCAGATTTATTTCTTATGTGACTATGTCGAAATAGTTTTTTTTTTTTTTTTTTTGCAGCGACTAGTGCTTTTAATCTGCGGGCCTGCAATTCTAATTTTCTGAAAGTTCTCTGATCCTGTCCCTGTTCGTGATTGGTTATATCTGGCAGAGCCCCCCCCCCCCCCCCCCCCCCTTTGTGTGAACGTGCTCGTGGCTAAATTGGGAAAACCTGCGTTGATTTGCTGAGTCGTGAACCAGCTTCCTGAAAGTTGGTGGTTTTAGTGAAGCCGCGTAATGACAAGACGTTTTGGGAGCGCTGAACTTTGTTTTTAGAACAGGCTCGGTGTTTTGGCACAACACCGAGCTGAGCGATGTAGATGGGGCCATACTCACACAAACCAAAAACTAAACACCAGCAATGTTCCCTCTGAGCTGCGCAATTGCGCACTGCTGGCACGGTCTCTGCGCACAGAAAATCTGCGTTGCGCGCAAAAAAAATCTAACCTGAATTGAAATTAAAATTAATACTTTAACAATTCTGTTGTGCAGTGTTACTCAGTAAGTGGCTGCTCCCGTATGGGATACGTGTCATTGACCTGAGCAGCCAGTTCTCTGGGTTTTGCTTACGTCGCCGGGGAAGGGCTGCTTGCATTTAAATAAATAAAGAAATGAATAAATAAATAAATAAAGGGACAAAAATTAAATCAAAGAAAAGGAGAGCATGGCGTAATAACACGATGAAGAGCTGTTTGATTTGCATGTAGTATAAATAAAAATAGGTATTCACTTTTTTCTCTGCTTGGAAAATGTTTAAATAATTTCACTTGTGTCAGTTTGATTAATTTTGATTGTTTAGGAGATGACGAGGTAGTTAGTTTTATGTTTTCTGATCATGTTTCCATATCTACTAAAATTGTAATTAGGAAGTACAATTAATTGTTAGTTAGTTTAGATGTCTTTTTTTTCATTTTGTTTCCAGATTTGTTACTTGGACTGAGCTTATACACCTTTCCATCTGTCTTTGTTTTTCTGCCTCTTTAGGGAGAAGAATTGGGACCTGTGTCTCTTGCCTCAGAAGATACAGATAATGACAACAGGGAAATACCCTGTCCTTGCCCATTTGGAAAATACCGATGGAGCTTGGAGACCCTTATACCCTTCCGCTGTTCCTCACTAGAGTCAGTTTCATTGATGAAAGAGAAATTGCTAAATGTAACCTGTCTGCCAAATAAGTTACTTTCTTTGATATAGAATGTCTTCCTTGTACAGTACTGATTTGCTTTTGCTTTTTTTGTCTTGTCCAGGTCCCACGCTGTAGATAATGCAGGTTTAATATCATCTTCAGTCTTTCTGTGGATGATCCCCAAAATGTGGGCCATGTTCAAGAATGGGCTGGATACATCCGACCTACACCTGTCTCCTTTTGATGTAGCAGACATTAGCGCAAAAAGGTCTCTCTTTGCAGATTCACATTTTTCGGTTGTTGTTTAAGGCATTCGCAGAATCTAACATTTCAATGGATGATGCATTTTGTTTACAAAGGGGGTAAACAAGCATGTGGGAAAGAAACCACAACGCGGAACAAAGAAAGGGCTTTATTAGAAATATTAAGAGGAATAGACAGAAACCCAAAGTAGGTCTGCTTGGGACATGACGCACCATTAATGTAGCTGCTGAAATTTGCACCTTGAAGATAAGTCAAAGGAATGAGGCTGACTTGTCAAAATTAAATGCTAGACAATTTTTAGTGTACATGATTTGATTGTGAGTGTTTTGCAGGCTCCAGAGGCTATGGAATGAAGAAGTGGCAAGGAGAGGCTTGGAGAATGCCTCACTGATTCGGGTAACTCTTCGTTTTCAAAGAACTAGACTGATTCTGTCCGCCCTCGTTTCCATTCTTGCCATGGTGGCGGCCTTTTTGGGGCCGGTGAGTTGTCGTCAGCTGTATTTTCAGACTTTGTGACGTTCTGATGTTTGCCTAAATGTTTTATTTATAAATCAAATTTAACTTCAAGAAATAGTGGTTCATACTCTGTAAACAGTTTCTAATTGCATTTTTAGAATTTCTACTCTCTGAAGTGTATCAAGCATTTTGTCTGTCCCTTCAGGCGGTCGTCGTTTATAAGATCTTAGACTACGTTTGCGACCCAGGAGAAACCAGTGGTGTTGGTTTGGCCTTTGCTTTGTTCACCACAGAGTTTCTCAAAACTTCCATGATATCCTTGCAGTGGGCATTAACACTGCGTACGGCCATCAGACTGAAAGGTGCCTTATGCTCTTTGGGCTTCCAGAAAGTCACATCTCTGCGAGTACTTGGCGACGTGTCAAACGGAGAGGTAAAGACTGGTTTACACACACAGAGAATTCACTTTACCTGCACTGCTGTGAAAAGTGGCCTAGTCAAAGTCTAGACTTGAATCTAACTGAGATGCGTTGGCATCAATAAGTCTTTCATGCTTGAAAATCCTCCAATGTGGCTGAATTACAACAATTCTGTTGAGAAGAGTGGGTAATTTGGTAATTTTTGTCTAATATTAAGATTTGTTTGATCCAAAAGAAATGCGTGAGACAATAAGATACTTTTTCAGTAAATCTTCTCACATTTGGTGTATTATGAAAAACGGGTGAAATATAAGCTTTCATTTTCTCATTTTTCTTTCATCTAGATTCTTAATATTTTGACAAATGTTGGACACAATGTTTTTGAGGCAGTTGTGAATGGGAGCTTTGTGATGTCCACCCCTGTACTCTTTGTTACGGGCATTTGTTATGCCTGGAACATTCTGGGCTACACCGCAATTATTGGAGTCCTCATCTACGTCATCTGTATTCCTATTGAAGTATGTACATGAAGTTAATAAAGTGAGATAGATAAATACAAAAAGGGCTCTGATTGAGGTAAGCATTACAGTCAATGTTGTAATGTAAAAAAGTTGTAATGTAGATAAACTATGAAAGAATTTGCCCAAACGTAATATTGGGCATGTAGTTTAATATGCTGAAACCTGTGCTATGAGGTCTAAGTCATCATTGAGGAATACCCTTACCTTCTACTTTTGAAATCTTGGCAATCAGGGGACTAATCCTTTTTTTTTTCTTCTTCTTTTCTAGTATCTCTTGGCATATCTCACAAATGTATTCAAGACAAAAGCAATGGTAATAAAAGACAAACGTGTTCATACAATGACTGAGATTCTCAACAGCATTAAGCTAATCAAGATGTACGCCTGGGAAGAATCTTTTGAGATGAAAATTGCAGGTAAGTCGAGCAGCTGTTTCCCATTTGGCAGCACTTTCCATTTATCTAGTAATATCGCATATCACACGCATTATTTATAGACTCCCATTTGTTTAGATACAAAATCAGGCATGTAATCTTGTTACTAGATGCAAAAGAGGTGATGTGAAATGGATGTGTGTTAGGGTGCGTCTACAAAGAATGATGAAAGTAACAGACAAGGCAAACAAACTTTCTTTCTTACAGAGTTGAGGAAACTTGAAAAGAAACTAGTACAGAAGATCCTTGAAATCCAGATTATTAATGGCAGCTTGACCATGGCCATCAGCACCATTGCCACTGTTTTCACCTTTCTCATCCACACTTTGTTGGGGTTACCACTGAAAACATCTGATGTAAGTAGCACAGCTCTGTAACAATATTATGCAGTAACACAGCCTCTGTTAGCATTTCCACTCGGTGATTTGGAGAAGTTGTTAGTAGAGATGAACTGAGAAGAAAACTGCGAGAATTTTGTAAGAAGGCTTGGTCTACTGACAGAAAAGGTCTAACATATAAATTGAGGGTTGTTGTGTTGTGAGATTATAGTGCAATATTTTCTTCCCAGGCTTTTACTGTTGTTGCCATCTTCACCTCCATGAGGTTCACCTTTGCTCTCATGCCGATTGCTGTGAAGGCCCTCACTGATGCTTTTGTGTCACTAAAACAACTTAGGGTAAGTTCTTCTTTTTGGTTCCCCAAGGTCCAGCAGTAGTAGTAGTAGCAGCAGCAGCAACGTTTCCACTTGTTATGGTCTTTCTGTTCATTATTAAGTTTTCTTTAATACACTTTTATCAATGTCTAAGGAGCTTGGAAAGAAAAGTGTCTGTACTTCTTTAAGTTGCTTGAAAACGTTTCACCTCTCATCCGAGAAGCTTCTTCAGTTCTAGGGTCAAAAGTGGAGAGTCCCAGATTTAAGCCCTGTGGGAGTGTCCCCCCCCCAAGAGGGACAATGAAACTCCCAAATGATCAATGGTCATGAGAATTTGCATAATTAAGATTAAGGAACTGACCTCCCAGCCCATTGTTCCTTCAGTGGGCTGGTTTCAGTCATTATGCAAATGTACTGTTTATAATTGGGGAAACCTGCAGTCAGCTGAGACTGAAGAAGTCACTTGGATGAGTGACGAAACGTTTCTACCACTTAAAGAACTTAAAGAAGTCCAGACTCTCTTCTTTGCAAGCTCCTTTGACTACGATGACCTGGATGACTGAACCTTCACAGACATGTTTCTACCACTAAACGCTACGTCCAGATGAACAGAATCAACTTTTGGAGACCTCCTAATGATCCTCTACCTAATCACACGAACCAAGGTGTGAAAGCGGGTGTGGGTCACAATCAGCCAAGGTTTTGGGTGAGCTCATTGTGAAACCTAGCCCCACCCTATCATGTGATTTCCTGAGGTCAAATAGCCCAGGATGTGAGTGGGCACAGTGGACATAGATGGCTTCTTTCACTCCTCTTTCAAACCATCTGTCCTCTATTTCCAAAATGTGAACATTGGCATCCTTGAAAGAGTGACCTTTGTCCTTTACATCCTGGCCCAGAAGCTTCTCGGATGAGAGGTGAAACGTGTTCAAGCAACTTAAAGAAGTCCAGACACTTTTCTTTCCAAGCTCCTTAGACTACGATGACTGAGAACCTTCAGACACACTTTTATCACTATTGTAATATAAGTACAATTTAAGCATTGCTTACTTGTGAAGTATTTCTATGGAAAATAATTGGTTTTGCAAGGCAGCAACTCATTTAGACATGTAGACACAGTCAAGATGACCTGATGGAGCTCATCCAGTCAGATCAGGGGATGGTACAATACCACTAAACATCAAAATGTTGCTTACCATTGTAAAATAGAGTAGAATGCCTGCCTATAGGATAAGATAACTGCTGACCTAGCTAAGTTTGCCCTGCAGACCTACCCTGTGGCCACACTTTGACTTGTTTCCCTACCATACCTGTGCCACAGACTTTAGGTAGAGTCATAGTTATGTGTCTGGAATTTCATTATTCCTATTGCATTGATGCCAGACAAAATGTAAAGGAGTAGTCTCACACTCACCACACACTCATGTGCACCTCTCCAAATCTTGTCCTCTACAAACCAGTGAAAAAGGCCATGCTGCTAATCACAAGCTGGATTTGTATTAATCATGATGCTTTTAGGACTTGCAGTACAGTATTTTAATTCATAATCGTTTTTTAGTTTTGTTAAAGTTGTTACTGCCATGGATCTTAGAAATCTGAAAAGCAAAATTGGTAAAAACCTGAATGATGTAAATGCACTGACTGTTTCAGAAAATCTTACTCATCCAGAATCCTGAGCCTTACCTGACGCAGATAGCAGGCAGTAATTCTGCTGTAGTGATGAGAAATGCTACACTTTCATGGACCAAACGCAGCCAGTCAGAGTCACCGCCCAGAGCAGCTAATGAGGTGACGGAACACAATATGGACGTGACTTCTCCGAATGAAAATGTTGAGACCTTACCAACCCTCAGAAACATCTCTTTTACACTACCCAAGGTGTGATCAAATAATAACTGAAGTTATTAAGACTCTGTTGGATATGAAATGATGATCTTTGTGATATTTCCTGAAGGGAAAACTGCTTGGTGTTTGCGGGAATGTGGGTAGCGGAAAGACGTCACTGATTTGCAGCATTTTGGAGCAGGTTTGTTTCTTTTGTATGTTCTATTGTTTTGTATCTGTCTGCATTTATTCACATTATGTTTTTACTATTTCTAACTTTACATTACAGTGACATTAGTTCTTTGGCCTGCTCACTTTCCTTTTAGATGTACCTTCTTCAGGGCTCCATCACAGCTGATGGAACATTTGCGTACGTTTGCCAGCAGGCCTGGATTTTTCATGGAACTGTTCGAGAAAATATTCTCATGGGGGAACCTTTTGATCAGGCCAGGTAAGTTAAATCCATCTTCTTGCATTTATGGCTGCCATCTCCTCCTTGTCAACCACCACTTTGTCTGTATAGTTAATCGTGGCCCTTTCGAACTGCATGTCCCCAATCTGCCCTGGGAGGCACAAAAAATCAAGTTGGATACCTTCCATGGAACTTCTAACGGTTTTTATTTTGACATTCTGAAATGTTGGTGGAAGGTTCATAGTAAACCAAAATGAGGTCCTCTTGGTTTTCTGACAGTATCACCTCTACTGCCAGAGATGGTAAACAGCTTGGCTAGGAACTAGTGTTTGCTGTAAACTTGATCAGTTCACTTTGTTTCAAAATCAGATTTCCATAAACTGCTGCTGAGGGGAAAACGGTTTAGGAATAAATTAATAGCAGTCCTTTAAAATATGTCAAAATAGCATAACTGAATTGATACATTTAATGCAACATTTTGCATGAAATCATTTTTCTTGTTAAATGATTTTGGTCATGCTTTACTGTCAGCAATTGGTAAATTGGACTGGAACTTCTGTAACACCTTTCTATTCAGGTGAGCACACAAAGCATTTTGTTCTTGCACACATCCAATCACATACACATTTATACAGTGTTTAACATTCTTCATTTATAACATTCTTAGACACTCACCCTTTGATGGATGCATCAAGGGCAACTGGGGGTTCAGTATGTCGAGGAACTCTGGTTAAATTCAGTGACCTCTTGTTCTGCTAACTGAGCCGCAGTCACCCACAAGTTATAATTGGCTGAATAAATGACTAGCTCCCATCCTATTAAAATATACTTCGCTATAGTATTAACCAGTTTGTTGCCTTGTACTGCTCCCCAACAGATATGACAGCGTTGTGGATGTCTGTAGCCTCAGAGCTGACCTAAGCATCCTGCAATATGGTGACCAAGCTGAAGTGAGTGCTTTCCAGACCAACAGGGGAGTGTCACACACCGACACAAGGGTTTTTAAGTGTATTTATTTACCCCACTCACTTAAGATGTAACTCAAGCTTGCAAATTGATGCTACAATAAAGTGGAAGGATTAAATTGTAATTTGGTATTAATCAAAAGTTCACAATATTATAAATATCCTTTTTGTGGGCATATTGGAGAGCGGGGTCTAAATCTATCAGGGGGACAGAAGCAGAGAATCAGCCTGGCAAGAGCGGTCTATTCCAACAGGGACATTTTCCTCCTTGATGACCCACTATCTGCTGTTGATGCTTATGTGGGGAAACACATTTTTGAAGAATGTATAAAGAAAGAGCTGAGAGGAAAATCCATCATACTGGTTACACATGAGCTCCAGGTAGGAAAACGTATTCAATTATTATGTAGTGGAGACTGGGCTGTCTGGGCTCAAAAGCACCTTTTCCTTTAGTACCTACTCTGATTGACTCACCTCGGATCGACTGGTTTTCCATTGTAATCTGGTACTACATGCTTGGCTGTCGTCATACCAAAGCGTCTAAGTGTCCGGTGACGTAATTAATATACAACACGAATGCTACAAAAAAGATGGATGTCAAGGCAAGAAATATACCTGCTGCTGCCAGCCAATCGGTCCCATGCAGTGTTACAACGTCACATTTTAGTACCTGCTCGGATTAACCCCAGGCAAGCAAGTACTGTAGCCTAACTGAAAACTGCAAGTCAATCAGAGTAGGTACTAATGGGAAAACGGGCTATCGTTTAAAGCGGTGGTTCCCAAACTTTTTTTTACTGGCCCCCCTTTGTTTTACAAGAAAACTGTTGCTCCCCCCCGCACAAAAACATCCTTCAACCACACACACCCATATTTTGTTTCCAAACTCATTGCGGTGAAATAAACTACGAACTCTTGTACGCTACGTCCACACCTACATGGGTATTTTTGAAAACACAGCTGTTTCTGGACGTTTGGGCCTTTTTGTCCACACGTAAACGGGGTTTCGAATCGAAAACTGAGATTTTTTTAAACTCCTTTTTTGCGTTTACGTGTGGACGAGGAATACAGAGTTCGTCACACAACATCAAAGGTATGAGCCTTTTTTCACGTCACGCTGTGGCCACGTTATTGTTTACATGAGATGAACTGCAGAATGGCAGATAGACTTTAATCTGACTATCTGCAGGTTACTACGCTTACATATTTTTTTTCTTTTATTATTTTTTTCTTTCTTATTTTTTTCTGTTTCTCATGTTTCTTGTTATTGTTTTATTTTTGTTTCTCTTTTTTTTTTTTTTTTATTAAAGTTGTCAGTAGTTGTCGTCTTATCTGTGTGTTGTTTTTTATTTTATTTTTTATTTTGTTTTCTGTTTCCTTGTTTGTTCTTGTGATTATTTATTTTAGTTGTTTCTTCCTGTGTAATAATATTCAACATTGCTATCAATACATTTTTCAAAAGATGCCTCTTTGTGCAAAATGGGTTCAAAAACATAAACAACTGTGGGATACTGCTTGTCTGTGATTTGAACAGAGAGAACAAATCGTGGCAGGAACGACCTGATATTATTTGTATCCCGCTGTAACTTTACTGTATAAAGAGCTAACATCTCCAAAATGTCAGGAGTAGTTAGTCATTACAAGTGTTTGTGAACTAAAAATCAAGAATGTGGGATACTGTTTGTCCGTGATTTGGAGAGCCCAGCGCGTGCTCCCGACGCAGGGAAAACCAATTCTGCAGGGGAGACCTACCTCGGCACTTGTGCAGGTGAAACCAAAGGGCAGATATGCTTCACCATATTTTCTAGTCTTTGGCTTAGAATGAAGTTGGTTTGGAAACATATTCAGCGATGCTTCATCTCCTGCTTTGCGTTTGTGGTGCCCCGTCAAAAACCTGTTCCATTATGCTAGCAGTGTCCAAGTTTTTTTCTTTTCAACGCTTTTACGTGATTGCTTTTTAGAAAATGTACACACGGTGGCACGGTGGTTAGCACTGTTGCCGCACAGCAAGAAGGTCCTGAGTTCAATTCCAACATCAGGCCGGGGTCTTTCTGTGTGGAGTTTGCATGTTCTCCCCGTGTCTGCGTGGGTTCCCTCCGGGTACTCCGGCTTCCTCCCACCGTCCAAAGACATGCAGCTTGTGGGGATAGGTTAATTGGATAACCCAAATTGTCACTAGGTATGAATGTGAGTGCGAATGGTTGTTTGTCCCTGTGTGTTAGCCTTGCGACAGACTGGCGACCTGTCCAGGGTGTACCCCGCCTCTCGCCCTATGACAGCTGGGATAGGCTCCAGCGCCCCCCGCGACCCTGAAAAGGATAAGCGGAAGCGAATGGATGGATGGATGGATGGACCTGAGTGTATAAAACCTACATATTTTGCTCATGAGTTGTAAGGTGCAATTTTTCCAAAGAATAAGGATTTGTCACATGCCAGTAACGCACACAACTGTTTAGAGCTCTAACCAGAGTTGAGCTGGTTTTGATAATTTGTTCTTCCTTGTGGCTTTTAGTATTTGCGCGCTGGGCTCTCCAAATCACGGACAAACAGTATCCCACATTCTTGATTTTTAGTTCACAAACACTTTTTATAATGACTAACTACTCCTGACATTTTGGAGATGTTAGCTCTTTATACAGTAAAGTTACAGCGGGATAACATCAGGTCGTTCCTGCCACGATTTGTTCGCTCGGTTCAAATCACAGACAAACAGTGTCCCACAGTTGTTTATGTTTTTGAACCCATTTTGCACAGAGAGGTATTTTTTGAAAAATGTATTGATAGCAATGTTGAATATTATTACACAGGAAACAAGTAAAATAATCACACCGTGACGCCTCTGCCTTTCTAAATGGAGGGACATGTAACTGCATGTAAAACCTGCAGATAGTCAGATTAAGCGTATTTTGTCTCCATCTTCCATTCTGCAATTCATCTCATGTAAACAATAACGTGCGCACAGCGTGACGTGAAAAAAAGCACATACCTTTGACGCTGTGTGACAAACTCCGTATTCCTCGTTCACATGTAAACGCAAAAAACGAGTTTTTAAAAAAACAAAACAAAACAAAAAAAACCAACAACTCAGTTTTCGGTGATTCGAAATACCGGTTACATGTGGCCAAAAGGCCCAAATGCCCAGAAACAGCTGTGTTTTCAAAAATACCCATGTAGGTGTGGACGTAGTGTACAAGAGCTAGTAGTTTATTTCATTGCTACCTGTAATTTATTGCAGATTACTTGCATTTGCTTAATCGTTTACTAAATTTTTGAGGTGTGAAATAAACCGAAATGAGTTTGGAAACAAAATATGAGTGTGTGTGTGGTTGGAGGATGTTTTTGTGCGGGGGGGAGCAACAGTTTTCTTGTAAAACAAAGGGGGGCCCAGTAAAAAAGTTTGGGAACCACCACTTTAAACGATAGCCTGTTTTCCCCATTAGTACCTACTCTGATCGACTTGCGCGGTTTTCAGTTAGGCCACAGTACCTGTTTGCCTGGGGTTAATCCGAGCAGGTACTAAAATGTGACGTTGTAACACTGCATGGGACCGATTGGCTGGCAGCAGCAGGTATATTTCTTGCCTCAACATCCATCTTTTTTGTAGCATTCATGTTGCATATTAATTACGTCGCCGGACACTTTGGTATGACGACAACCACGCATGTAGTACCAGATTACAATGGAAAACCAGTCGATCCGAGGCGAGTCAGAGTAGGTACTAAAGGAAAAGGTGCTTTTGAGCCCAGACAGCTCAGTCTCCACTACATAATAATTGAATACGTTTTCCTACCTGGAGCTCATGTGTAACCAGTATGATGGATTTTCCTCTCAGCTCTTTCTTTATACA